TCCTCGGGTTGAGTTCTGTTCATCCAGTCATTGAAGCCAGGTCAAGTGGGTATCATCTGCAAGTGTGGGTGTTCTTGCGTCTGTCTGCCCTCTTCATATCAGCTGGTCTCTTCACTCTCCACTCTAGTCCTCTGTAGCTGTGTCACTGACTCTGAGCCCATGAGTCCCCCAGTCCCACCTCGCTGCTGGGCAACTGAGTCTCCACCCGGGTTCACAGTAGTCTGCTGAACAATGCAGGGCTTAGCTCGCCGCTTCATTGGTGTTCTTAGGCCACTTCTCTTTACGGGTGACACGCATGGTGGAGGCCTCCTTCTTGATATCACTTGTTGTTGTTGTTAATTGCCATCAAGTCAGTTCTGACTCATGGTGCCCTTATGTATGGCTGGGGCTGTGTGCTGGGGCTGTGTGCCGTGGAGTCAGTTCCGACTCATAGCGACCCTGTACAGGGTTTCTGAGGCTGTAAATCTTTACGGGAGCAGAACGCCTCATCTTTCTCCCGCGGAACAGTTGGTAGTTTCGAACTGCTGACCTTGCGGCTCGCAACCGGATTCATAACCACTCCGCTACCAGCAGTCCATGGATACCATCTCTTAGATCATACCAAAACAGTATGTTTTTTTTAACGACTTATACTTTCCAGATACTGAATTCATTGTTATCTATCTATCCATTGGTCAATTGATTCATTGGTATATCTATGTATGTATTCACCTATTATTTTCTTCTTAATAATTAGTTTTAAAGAAGTTATTTTGTTGTTGTTTGTTTTGTTTTAATACAAGATAATGAAACCCATATTACAAGTACAGTGAAGCAAGGAGTATATCCTACTGGAAGAAATTAGGGGAAACATCACCAAAGATTTTAAGCTAGATCATGAAGTTTAATAGAAATTGAATTGTACTTCTGCAAAGGCATGGAAATACATGAGATCTTACCAGATCTTCAAACCAATTCTTTCCAGTTCAGACATGGAAGAAGAAGCATAAACAGAACAGGCATGATTTTTTTTTTTTTTTTTTTTAGGAAGCTTTGTATT